GTGAGAGCGTGTGTGCGTGCGTGTGTGTGGTGAGTGTATGTGCAAGTGCATGTTGATCATGACATAACACGGCATGTTACTTGTCAGTGGTGTTCAGTCCACTACACCGCAGCACTGCCGGTCTGCACTGCCTGGACTGATTTGTTCCACTATGTGCGGCATTGGTCCAGTCTTACTACAGTACGCTGTATTGTACTACACTGCATGTACTTGCAAACACCACCATTCTCAGAACTGTCCATTCCCAGAACAGGCTCTCAACTACACAAAATGTATAACATTGCCCTGAAGAACACTGAAGTGGAGTTGGAGAGTTCTATGGGAAAGTATTGTACCAATTATTTGCAGTGATCATCAGTCACACGTACTGACTGTAGATCTACCAGGCCAGGATCAGTGCTAGATCATGACATAAGTACATAATGTCATTTTTAGTTAGATATGACCATGCATGCAGCCGTGAAAACCGGGCTTTTAAGTTTTAGTTTTACGACTCCCTGGCACATGCCATGGTTACGGTATGGTGATTTCTGCATGGGACGTAATCAAAAATCGGCGTAAATCCACTACCATGACGACTGGCAAAACACTCATACGCGTAGTTATAGTTACGCTTCACCGTGCAAAGCTAGCTGTGAAGTGTTAGTAACTGTTACTGTTAGTCACGATGAGTACTGTCTTCTGAACGTCATCAGGATTCTTTCGTTCATTTGTGTGTTTTCTTTCCAATTTTCACCAGCGAAGAACTCCCTTCATTTGTTAGTGGATTGAGTGATCGTTTCAGTCAGTTCTCTGATCTTGAACATTGCAGTAGCTAATGCACTGCTGTCTGAGTGCTGCTGGTAAGATTCCTAGCGGCGAGCCGCGTGAAGCCATTCTCAACGGTCACGCCCGTGGCCGCGTGGGTGAATCGCTGTGAATGGCGGCAGCGTAGCGACACACCGAGATCAAAAGGGTTCAGAGTCGGACAGGCTGAGGCTGACCATCGCAGTCAAGGCTCCGTCATTTGCCCCCTTGACCGACAGCTACAGGATCCGCAAACAGTAACTTACATCATGCCTCCCAAGAAGAAGGGCAAGGGAAAAGGAAAGGGCAAGGGCAAGGGAAGGAAGAAAGGTGGCAAGAAGAAGGGCAAGAAGGAAGGTAAATACGAGGGAGCAAGCACTCATGAGTCATGGTTAGGTGGCCACGAAAGCCCTGATTTCGGAGAAACTCATGTACGTGTGTGTTCCATGCACGTACACGCCATACTGTACACTCCATACACTGTGTTGCCCGAGCAGGTCCATCCGGGAATGATCCAGAATAGACCCAGAGTCCTGTGTGTGTGTGTTGGGGGGGGGGGGGGGTGTGAGTGTATGTGTGTGTGCGTACCTGTGGGTGTGCATCAGGAGCATCAGACATGCTACGGTATTGACCGTACCACTCTTTGCCTCGGGTACCTCGTGAATCCATAAAGGGCACTGATTTGTGCTCTAAATTTCGAAAATATTCAAAGGAGACACCCTAACGCCACGAGTCCATTGTACTTTAGGTGGCTGACCGTACCAGTGACCGGAAGGTATGTAAAATACCTTCCGGTCACGCTCATGTACAGTGTTGCGGCGTAGTGTTTCCACGTACCGTTGCTATGCTAAAGGTGGATGCTGTGTTTGGTGCATGCCGCTACATAACTGTCTTGACTTGTTGCCATGCTGTGGTGCTGTTGCTATGTAGAGAAGGAGCTCACGGTCAAGGACATGTATCTGAAATCACAGAAGGAAGGATCGCGCCTCAGGGAAGAGCTTGGTAAGCCATGGTCATGATGATGCAGGCAGTGATCATAGCGTGGTGTGCAGGTGTGCAGGCGTGGTGTGTATCTTGGTGATCGATAACTCCACATACCTTGAATGCTTTGTACACAAGTGACAACATGAGGACTGCATCTTCTCCCTCTGGTCGTGACATGCAGCCAACATGCTCTTTTACCTTGTTCTGTGTGGGGCAAGTCACGGAGATGAAAGGGTCCACCAAAATTTCCTTTTTCGGTGGAGGGGGGGGGGGGGTCGGAAGGGAGAGAATTTTCTTAGGCCTCGCTTACACGACAACGATTGAAAAACGTTTTTTGTGAAAAACGTTTTCAAAATAACACGTTTCCACAGATTTTGACAGGAGCGTGCACATGAGCACGCTGAAAAACGTTTCAAAAACATTTCAAACGAAAAACGGCCTTCAAAGTGTTTTTCAATCGTTTTCGTTCCGTTTTGTTCTCGTGTAGACGGCAAAACCGTTTCACTACTACGGGCCTCATGCTGCAAACATGCCGCCGCCAGGTCAACTTATTGCACGTGACTATTGTGCGCCGAAAACGCGTTGCAGTATACACGCTTATCGTTTCTGTGGAAACAGCAAAAACGTTTCGAAAACGATTGAAAAACGTTTTTCAATCATTGTCGTGTAAACGAGGCCTTAATCTGCTTGCTATCATACACACAACTAAGGGGGGGGGGGGTACAGACAGTTTTCTGGACTCATCCACCAATGAACTAGCCATCCATGGCGATATTGAAACCGATCGATCATTGTCGGTGTTATGCATTGGCACCGGACTGTACGTGTCCAGTGAATTCCCAGTTGTTACTAAGCAGCTGGGACTGTAACTGTTGAGTTGAGCTTTCATTCCCTAGTTAAGTATTAGTGCATGTAAGTGTGGAGTTGAGGTATGCGATGCGTGAAGTCATTGCTGTCTCATCATATGCAGTATGTAGTGTTGAGCAGTCCAGCAGCGAATATGTCTCTCTTTCTTTTCTCCTATGTATCGGCGCACATGAGTAACGAATCTTAGGGGTGAAACGAAGGTCTCAATTTGCCAAACGAACCTTCTTCATCAAAACGAACGAAGGTGTCGAAAGATTCCTTTACCAGTTCACAGTTCCTCTTGAAGCACACTCGGTGCATGTGCCCTACAAAGTACATGACTGTGCACATATTTGCTGTGCAGTCACTGCGCAGTTTGCATCTCAAACTGCCCAAGACTACTTCTGCACAACGTGGCCGTGAATGGCCACGCTCAAGCGCAGTCCGTGGCCTACTATGCACTTGCAATGGCACCTACCGGGAGCCAAGTGGACAGAAAATAGTGCACTGTACAAACCACAGTACAGTACCTCCTGTGTACAAGGAGGATCAGTGCATGTGTGTGCAGAAATCGTTAACCTTCCTTTGAATTGAAAACGAAAGTTTGTTTCAAAATGAAACGAAGGCTCTTCGAACCTTTGACACCTTCGTTTCACCCCTAGTACTAACGATGAATCCGAGACCTTTGGTCGGAGGAGTTACTTCTGCCCTGCCCCCACTTCCATCCAATATGCCACCGACCCGCTGTGCAGCATCTGATGGTTCTGTGGTATTCAGTAAAAAAAATTGTGTGTATTGGGGTGGGTAGGGGGGGGGGGGGGGCAAGTACCTGATGGACACCAAGTGGGAGGTTTGATAGTTCATCATCATCATCATAGATGCTTTTAAACATAAAGCTGTTTGCTTCACCCGACTTTCTGGTCCATGATGTCAATATGTTACTGGCATACAGGCGTATATCATGCATACTGGCTAACACCTTACACATGGTACAAGGTACATGTGTACTCTGTGTGTGTGTGTGTGTGTGTGTGTGTGTGTGTGTGTGTGTGTGTGTGTGTGTGTGTGTGTGTGTGTGTGTGTGTGCATTTGTATATGTGTGTGTGTGTGTGTATGCGCGTGTGTTGCAGCTTCGCAACTGGACGCGGCACGGCGAGCTAAGAGCGCAGTGTCACTCTTCGTGTTGAAATGGATCATACACGTGATAGTTTAGAGCAGGAGAAGGTCGACAAGAAGGATATCGTGACAGGTCAGAGTCTAGCATTGTCCAAACACCTTAGCCTTGCTTGCACACTTGCACACTGCCCTTCAAAGCTTGTCTCTTGAATTCTTTATCCACTGATCACGGTAGTGGTGTGGTATGCAGTGTGGTGTAGAGTGTGCGGTGTGCTGTGTGTGCTGTGCAGTGTGTTGTGTGTGCTGTGCAGTGTGCTGTGTGTTGTGTGTGCCGTGCAGTGTGTGCTGTGCAGTGTGTTGTGTGTGCCGTGCAGTGTGTGCTGTGCAGTGTGTGCTGTGTGCCATACAGTGTGTGCTGTGCAGTGTGTCACCCAGTGTGTGTGTGCTGTGCAGTGTGCTGTGCAGTGTGTTATGTGTAATGTGTAATGTGCAGTGTGTTGTGGTACTTCATGTGATCAATTATTAGCCATCCATAGCAAATTGCTACTTACATCATCATTTGTGTGGAGGTACTAACATTTTGTGAGAAATGCTGCTGCCTGTGCTGGCATGGAGCTATGCGGCAGGAGCATGGAGCTATGCGGCAGGATTCCTGCATGATTGCACACATGCTGGCATGGAGCTATGCTGGCATGATTGCACACATGCATGCGGTACTGGGCGACTAATGGTCCACGTTCTTCCTATTGCATGACAGATATTACTCGCCAGTACAAGAGCATACAGGGGCAACTTGGCATGCGCATGCAGCAGCTGGAGGGCCAAGTCGGCCAATTGCAACAAGATCTAGGTAAGCCAACTGCCAGTCACGGTAGTGCTCCTAGAATTTATATGCAACCCCCCCCCCCCCCCACACACACACACTCTCTGTCTCCACACACTCCCTGTATTTCACATACTTTGAACAATACAGGTATTCTTATATGGTCATCACTTTGTGCATTGCAGAGACAGTCATGGACATGTACGTATTCTGAGTGTTTTCTCTTCAGTTCTGTAGTTGCTGCTGCTGCCTGGTTGCCATCACTGCATAATTATGGCCACTGCCCCTGTGATCATGTGATCCTCTAATATTATTATCGCAACCAAGACGGCAAATGGTGCAGTAACCGTTATCTATTATGACTACAACATGGGAACATTGTTACAATAGCGAGAGCATGAAACCAGGGTTCTAGCCAAAGGGGGGTAGGGGGGCGCAGCGCCCCCCCCCCCCCCCCCCCCCTACTCCGTTTGCGCGCCCCCCCCTACTCATTTTCCGATTTTTGTGTTTTTTTCACGCCATTCAACGAAAATACAGTCAATAGTCACTACTAGAGGGTTCATAAAGGCACATTTGTGAGGGGTGAAGTCGGGGGTTCACCCTGTATGTTGCATTTTGCATGGCAAGACAATTTTGGACAATGGAAAAAATGGGTCATGAGGTAACTTTTTCCCATGCCCGCCCCCTACTATATTGACCTGGCTAGAACACTGCATGAAACGCAGCGTTACAACAATGACCTAGCCGGCTATCTCTGTTCTCTTCTGCCTTTGTGGGAACATTGTTACGTACGTTCACTGATGATCGTAACGAGAAAACTGTTCTGAACATTTTTTATAAGAAGGAAAAATAACCAAAGAGCTACAAGTTACGCTATAATATCCACTAACACCACCAGTTACTTTACAATCAGCTGATGTGATAACATTGCACGACACTGACCAACGGTACTGTCATTAGTCTACAGTCCATTCAGAAAAAGATGAGCGCTGGCTCTGGAGAGCTCCCGTGTTTGGCGATTTTGTGGTACACTGTGCAGTGCCGCGCGATTCGAAACTTGAAAAAGGGTCCAAAAAGCACCTCAACTGGGGTTCGAACCGCAAATGTACTGTTATGCAAGTGGAGTGAACGCCCTGAATTTTCATGGTTTTTACTAGGGCTCAAACGATTAGTCCGATTAACCGGTTGCAGACCGGTTACGAAGAATTAACGGTTAACCGATAAAGATAACGGTTACGCAGTAACTTTTCAGTCAATTTTTCAAGTATCAGGTCGTTGCAAAGTATGCACTTTCGCAGGCTGTCGCACGCGTACGCAATTTCTGGGCTGTCAACTCGGTCATATCTGGTCTCTTGGTGTGAGAGTATGTATGAATGAGCATGCAAGAGAATGTACAAATGTGCGTTGTACTGAATAGGGTACATTTTTTGAATGAGTACAGTCAAATATACGGTTAAAAAAGAGTCCGCAGGATTGCCGTGGCTTATAGGTTATAACCGGTTAACCGACCGTTAGCTTAGCAGTTAACCGTCAGGGGTAAAACCGTGACCGTTTGAGCCCTAGTTTTTACCCAATTCAGTGCTTTGGGGGCAAAACCTGGCCGAAATCCTATTCTTGTTTAATATGGCTTGCTTTTGGAGAAATAGACTTCAAAAACGCAATTGGAAGAGCATTCCATGGGGGATTGCCAAAAAAAGGAGACGAAAACTCAAAATTTGACCCGTTTGTGGCCAAAAGCTAGGATATCATCTTTTTATGAATCAGGACTGTACACCTAACTGGCAATCAGCTCGAGCACACTGTCTTGGATGCGCACTTCAACAGCTTTGCAACTTGGAAGGTTCTAAGTTTAATATAGAAGTAACATAAGGAAGGAAGGGTGAGCGCAACCGAGACAAGCACAAGCTGAAAGCCTCAGGTATAACTTAGAATCTTCCAAGTTGGAAAGCTGGTTGGAGTGCGCATCCAAGATGTGCGCATCCAGGCAAGATGTGCGCATCCCGGCAAGATGTGCGCATCCCGGCAAGATGTGCGCATCCCGGCAAGATGTGCTACAGCTGATTGCCAGTTAGGTGTAGAGCTTCAGTAGCGTTGGTCAGCATCGTCACGGCAATGTTATCACATCAGCTGATTGTAAAGTAACTGGTGGTGATAGTGGATATTATAGCGTAATTTGTAGCTCTTTCCGACGGTCCTCTTTTCTTCGTATTAATTAATCCTTGCCTCTCCAGCCGAGTCTAATTATGAACTTTTTTTTCCTTTGACATGTACATATATTTACATTTATTTACATTTCATATCTCTCTCCCATGTTGTAGTAATAATATAATGGTCACTGCACAGTTTGTCCTCTTGGTTGCGATAGTAAAGTTGCTGTCTCTAAAACGCTTGTTTACGAATATTATTGTCCAAATATACAATTTATGGGAAATCCTCTCCTTTACCATACACACTCTAGTAGTGTACTACTACTTATGTACCCTTGTACCCAGGCACTCTTCACGACTGTGTAACATGTACCCAGGCACTCTTCACGACTGGGACTTCATATTCGCTACGGTGCCGATCTATCATTTAGAAGGAGGTTGTTTCATGTTGGTTGTCTGCATTGCCTAGGTGAGACACGCTTGGAACTGGCGGACATGACCACTGAGCGGGATCACTACCGCCAGCGGTCGGAGGAGCTCCAAGAGCAGCTGAAGACCATCGTGAAAACGCTCGAGTCATCGTACGAGTCCGCCATGCTGGTAAGTGAAGTGCTGGCAGTCAGACTTAGTGTGTAGGACAATCACATTGCTAGAGAAAGAGAGAGAGACAGAGAGAGAGAGAGAGAGAGAGAGAGAGAGAGAGAGAGAGAGAGAGAGAGAGAGAGAGAGAGAGAGAGAGAGAGAGAGAGAGAGAGAGAGAGAGAGAGAGAGAGAGAGAAAGAGAGAGAGAGAGCGAGAGAGAGAGAGAGAGAGAGAGAGAGAGAGAGAGAGAGAGAGAGAGAGAGAGAGAGAGAGAGAGAGAGAGAGAGGGAGGAGAGAGAGAGAGAGAGAGAGTAATGTTTCGACCCATGTCATGTAATGTAAAGCTCTGCCACGGCATCCCTGGATAGAGACGGTACAGGCAGTTACGTACTCTTAGAGTTCTGCTCTCTTCGTGATACATGGTTGAGAGCAAGTTACAAGAGAGTGTGTTCTCACGGAGAGGGAAATCCCCACTGGAGATCAGTGTAGCACACTGTTCTGCTGTAGGTCTAAGCTACGATCTGTAACGGTTGCTTAGTACTGGTCTCTTTGCTGAGGAGTCTCAGCAATTTCACCTATTATCGAGTTTTAAAACAGACCATCAATGGGGCGCTGGTTAGTTTCTTAGCAAAAGACGGGACTCTTGAAAGTGTACTTCAAGTGAAGTACCGGCCGTCACCGTCCTTGTAGAATCGGAAAGTCCGTTCACAAACTGAGATAATAATCATGATGTATTGGACACCATAAAAATGTGAGGTTGACAAGACCTGCCTCTTGGCCAATGGTTTCTGTTCCGTGAACTCATGTTCCAACTCCGCCAAATATCCAGTGGGCTCGGTGAACCCTTGGTTAAATTGTCCACCTCGTTGCTCATTTGGAGTGAAAACATTTTTTTAATGTACATGTATTGAAACAAGAGAAAACCAGAAAATCAGTAATTCTCTGTTTTTTTTAAAATGTGTTTCTGTCTGTCTGACTGTCCATCCATCCATCCATCCATCCATTCATCCATCCATCCATCCATTCATCCATCCATTCATCCATCCACCTCTCCTTCTGTCTACATCACCCACTTCCACGTGACCCCGCTACACCGCCCATTTCTCTCACCCATGCATGCAACTGCCTGTATATTTGTGCACTCTTCCCCGGCACCTCACACACAATAATGCACATGCAGGATACGATGGACAAAATGACAGCACGAGTGGATCGATTACGTATGGGCTGGACTGAGGATTCAAGCTCTGTCGACAATACTCTACAGCAGATGTATTCGGAATTTGCAGGTCACTTCATTGCGGTGAAGCCTAAACGTTTCACAAGAGGGAGTGCATTGAAGGCTGACAGGTCCACTAAATGAGTTGAACGTTCATCAGGATTACGGGTAATTGACTCAACTGTAGTGTTAGATATCGTACAGTTACTTGATCAACACTGTGTGTGTTGTGTATGCAAGTTAGTCATTATATATCTACTACACCGTTTGCTACTGACTGCGCATGCTCGCATATGGTTGTTGTTGTTACTTTACTTGACCAAGAGGAATGTCTTCCAAAAGCTAGTGTAACTGTTTGTGTGTGTCAGTGAGAATGCATGAGTGTAATGGAATGTTAGTCCGCAAGGGGACATAACAATTTGGCGACGAAGATAAAAGACGAAGATGTCGCGATCGAAGCTTGAAATATTTGAAAAAGGTGATTTTCGTGAGTATGTAGAGAGACTCACGTTTTATTTTATCGCCAACAGTATTGGACAAGTCGCAGCTGGGGCAACCGCGGACCAGGAGAGAGCGGCAGACACGCAAAAGGCAGCTGTCCTGATCAGTCAACTCTCTGCTGAGAACTACTCGATTCTGAAGAGTCTTTGCCTGCCGGACAAACCAGCGCAGAAAACGTTTGAGGAACTCGGAGAATTGCTTTCAGAGCACTTCAAGCCTAATGTCAGTGTGTTGGCGGCGACTCATAGATTCCAGAGGATTTGTCAAAAGGATGGAGAGTCAGCAACACAGTATGCAGCTAGACTAAAGCAAGCAGCCATGGACTGTAAGTTTCAGGCGTATTTGGACAGGGCACTCCGAGACCAGTTTGTCAGTGGGTTGAAGTCGATGAGTGTTACGAAGGAGATATTGTCGAAAGCAAAGGAGACCTCAAGTTTGGCGGACATTGTGACGATGGCATCAGCCTATGAAACTGCATCGAGAGAGTCGGAACAATTGACGGCGCAGTCCGTCCACGCCGTTCGTTCGCGCCAGTCGACGAGCAAGCCAACTCCAACTTTCAAGTCGCACGACAAGAAATGTTTTCGGTGTGACAAGGCTGGTCACAAACCGGAAGAGTGCCGCTTCAAGAGTGTGAAGTGTCACGCGTGTGGTACGGTGGGTCACATCGAGAGAGCTTGCCGCAAGAAGAAGTCTGGACAAACCGTCCATCACATCGCGGAAGAAATTGGTGAGTTCGTTCCATGTGCTAGTAAACCCGATGTCACCATGTATAGTGTAAATGCAATGGGGCGACTACCGTACACTGTATCATTAGATGTAATGGGTACCACTATCCAAATGGAGATTGATACAGGAAGTGCTGTCACGATTCTCAGCAGCGCAGATTTCTTGCAATGCAATGGTGTGCTGAGTAACCTGATGGAATCCAGTATCAACCTTGTGTCCTACTCTGGAGATGTGATTAATTGTCTCGGGGAAGCGGAAATGGAGTTCCGAATGGGCACACAATTGCACACACTATTGGTGAGGGTTACAAATGGAAACCGTCCATCTATTCTGGGCAGAGATGCAATGGCTTTGTTCAAACTCCCCTGGAAATCAATTTTCGAAGTGCACCAGGTCGAAAAGTCTGGCGCTAAATTCATTGAGAAATACCCAGGGTTGTTCGACACCTCAGAAGTGGGAAAGGTGAAAGGCGTGCAGGTGAAATTGCATGTGTCTGATGAGAGCCCTGTTTACCGAAAGGCCAGGCCGGTACCACTGTCAATTCGGGAGAGCTATGTTGAGGCTCTGAATAAATTGGAAGCAGATGGTATAATCGAGAAAGTCACGCATTCAGAATGGGCCTCCCCCACTGTCACGGTAGAGAAATCAGGAGGTGGGTTGAGAATCTGTGGTGACTACAGTGGCACTATCAATCTGCATTCTAAATGCGAGCAATACCCGCTACCCACTCTTGAGGAGCTATTGCACAAATTGGGCCCGGGGTCTAAATTCACGAAGCTGGATTTGTCGCAAGCCTACCACCAGCTAGAGATAGCACCTGAATGTCGGAAGTACACCACGATCAATACCATGCAGGGGTTGTATCAGTACAAACGACTCCCTTTTGGTTTTCACAGCGCCGTATCTATTTTCCAACGGGTAATGGAAGAAACCCTTAGCGATTTGCCAGGATGCGGGGGCTACATCGACGATGTGTTGTGTACTGGTCGTGATGAGGAGATCCATGAGAAAAATGTGGATCAAGTGCTATCTTGCCTAAATGAGAAAGGATTCAAGCTCAATCCTAAGAAGTTCAGCTACATGGCGGATAAGCTAACGTACCTCGGTCATCAGGTAACCGCGCAGGGAATCGCACCCTCGCCTGATCGAGTGAACGCCTTGAAAGTCGCAAAGCCGCCTAACAACGTGAATGAATTGTACTCTTTTCTGGGTGCGGCCAATTTTCAACGGAAATTTGTACCTCGGTTCGCAGAGATTGCTGCACCACTGTACAACCTGCTCAGGAAAGAAATGAAATGGCAATGGAGCAAGGCAGAGGAAGATGCATTCCAGGCCTTGAAAGATGCAATGTGTGAGCATACGCTATTAGCACACTACGATGTCAAGAAGCCAGTCACACTCCAGGTGGACGCTTCTCCAATGGGTCTAGGTGCCGTACTATTGCAAAGGCAAACGAATGGTGATGTTTTGCCGGTTGCTTACGTGTCAAGGAAATTGACACCGGCTGAATCGCGTTATGCACAAATCGAACGGGAAGCCGTAGCTGTGGTTTTCGGTGTTACGAAGTTCCAGAAATACTTGCTAGGGCGCCACTTCACGCTTCAAACCGACCATCAACCACTATTGAAGTTACTGGGAAACAACGAACCAGTTCCTACAATTGCATCAGCTCGCATCAAGAAATGGGCACTAATGCTAGCTGGCTATGATTATGAGATCAAGTATTTGCCAGGCAAGGAAAATGTCTACGCGGATTTCCTGTCTAGGCAACCATGTGAGAATATCAGTCCGTCTGCAGAGGAAATGGTTACGGTTCGTGTCTTGCTAGTGGAGGAAGATACGATAATCAAAGCAGACGTAGTGAAATCGGAAACAGCTCGTGACCCTGAGCTATCTAAGGTGCTCTACTATGTGGTGAATGGTTGGCCTAGCTCAGTACCCCAATCGTTTCGGTCTTACCACAATAAGAGGGATGAGCTGTCTGCGGAAGATGGTATCCTATTGTGGGGACAACGAGTTGTCATACCCAAATCACTAAGAATGGTATTGCTACGTGATTTGCACACGGAGCACTTTGGCATGGTCAAAACCAAGCAAATGGCACGACGGTACTTATGGTGGCCAAATGTGGATCAAGAGATTGAAATGTTAATCAAGGCATGTGCTCAATGCCAAGAAAGTGCGAAATGTCCACCTGCCAAGTCGGGAACCTGGTCATGGCCAAACGGTCCTTGGAAACGGGTGCATATCGACTTTGCAGGACCATTCATGGGCAAGATGTTCCTGGTTGTGGTGGATGCATACACAAAGTATCTGGATGTAATTGCAATGTCTAATGCCACATCTGCAACCACTATTGCGGCTCTGCGGCACGTGTTCTCTGTGTTTGGTCTGCCGGAGCATCTTGTTTCAGATAATGGAACCCAATTCGCGAGCGAGGAATTCAAGGCTTTCCTCCGTGCCAACGACATTGTGCACACCCTGACGGCTCCAGGCCATCCGGCTACGAATGGACTTGCTGAGCGCTATGTGGGTGTGTTTAAGCAGAAGTTGAAGGAAATGGGTGCAACGAGCGAACCACTGCAAGCTCGGCTCGACAGGTTTCTGCTAACGTACCGCACGACACCCAACCATGCCGGCAGAACACCTGCGGAGATGATGTTTGGACGCCAGCCACGCACGCGGCTCAGTGCTCTGCGTCCCTCGCAGGTACGTCAACAAGCAAAGGCTTATGAGGACGGCAATCGCGTCAAGCCAGCGTTCACAGAGAGTGACTCTGTGTTTGCGCTGAATTTCGGCAAAGGTAATCGTTGGGTCCCGGGACGAATTGTGCGTGTCCTCAGTGACTACAACTATGAAGTACAAGTGGGTGATGTGTTGTGGAAGCGTCACCGAGATCAGTTGCGTCTACGGTCAGTTCCGGCAAGCTTGAGTGCATCGCTGCCAGAACCACTGTTGGATACAATCGATCAGACGTCACCGTCACCAGTGCTGTCAGACGTAGGAGAGTCGTCACTGTCCAGTGATTTTCCGGCTAGCGTCTCGCCACAGTCTGCTACTGTACAAGTTGAGGCGGATCCTCCTTGTGAGCAGTCTGCTCCTGAAGTTGGTTTACCACAGGTCGAGAATACTCCCTGTGAAACCACTGTTAGACGTTCGTCTCGGCGTAGTGTTCGTCCGGATAGACTGATTGAACAGCTTTGAGCCGTTCCCTGATGTCATTGCTGGACTGTTTAGCGAACTAGTAATTATTACCATGTACAATAGTGTGCAAGATCCTTGGTATTGCTAATATTGACTGACGGATTCCTGCGTCAGATTATGTTATTGTAGTGCTGTGTCAAAGTTTAAGAATTCACGTACGGTGGATTGATGAACTTATTTTATGTGTTTCTTCAACGATTTTTGAGGTATTTAATTGTGGTAGAATATTCCCTGGAACATTCTTGAAAGGGGGCAGTTGTTGTGTATGCAAGTTAGTCATTATATATCTACTACACCGTTTGCTACTGACTGCGCATGCTCGCATATGGTTGTTGTTGTTACTTTACTTGACCAAGAGGAATGTCTTCCAAAAGCTAGTGTTTGTGTGTGTCAGTGAGAATGCATGAGTGTAATGGAATGTTAGTCCGCAAGGGGACATAACAGTGTGTGTGTGTGTGTGTGTGTGTGTGTGTGTGTGTGTGTGTGTGTGTGTGTGTGTGTGTGTGTGTGTGCAGTAGCAGAACCTCTATTTGTCTGGCATTAATAATATTTAAAACTACATAAAACCATGTTGTTAATGCATCGCGTGCATGTGTCTTGATGTGGTCGGTGGTGTGTATACACGTGGTTGGCTGTATCCTATTATGCATGCATGTAAACGAGGGACGTACTAGTTGTGACAAAGGAACATGGGCATGGTTTGCAGAAATTGTGCTTAGGTGGATGTTGAAGGAGCACAATTGGTTGAAATTGGCGGGGGGGGGGGGGGGGGTATTTTTGGAGTGCAACTGAAAAAAAACTTTTTCCAGTCAAGCTACCAACACATTACACTGATCGTTTGCGATAGTATTTTCAAATTATTACTTTGATATATCGCTAACAATTACTTACACTCTGTTGTACACGTGTGGAGATCACAGCACGCACAGCTAACAAGGCCTAGGGGTTGATAATTATTTTATTGTTTTCGAATCTCACTTGCAGAAGTGAAGAGACAATTCGAGAGGACAACTAAGTGGAAAATACGAGGCTATAAAGGGCCTGGGTAGCTATGGCAATGAATGGATGGGAGCGCGAATGTAGCTACCCAGGCCAAAGGATAATGTGGGAACTTGTGAGGGGAGAGTGCGGGAGCAAGAAGTTAGTGAGTACTAGAGCATCGAGAAACGGGTAGCGGGAAGCGGAAAAGAGGTGCATGTAGCCATTCTTGTGTGAGTTTGTATTGGAAAGGCTTTCTGTCTAAAGCCTTTCCATACTGGTGCTCGATGTTTTCAGTTTGGGGACACCAAAATTAGTGTACCGCTAAAGACACGTGGTCGACACTTTGTTGACACGTTGCTGACACTTTGTTGACACGTGACCCAATTACCGGCCTACCAAGTGCCTTTGGTGACCGCTAACAGCAACTGTGGAACAGTGCAGTGCCCTTTTTTGGAGCAACGTACGAGTAGTGCCCATGGATTATGACCCCGCGACCCCAATCTACGTGGCGGTCCGCAATTCGCTACTTCATACTGACTGGCGTCCGGCATCGTCCCGAATTTGGCCACAATCTGCTCTCGGGACCCCTATAGGGCTCCCTGACCTGCTCCATCTCCGCCATCGTCAAAACATAGTATGTACTGCGCATCCACCCAGGCCAGGACTGCACTTACTTACGGGAAGGAGTATTTGCAAGATGGAACCTGGGAACTGGAAGACGACGAAGAGGAAGCGTGGGAATCCGGCGGCAATGGCTGGGATGTAAGTCCAACATTGCTGGTGCCAGAGTTGCCACTGCTTGCTTATAAGGGAATCATGTGTGTTGCCTTTTTGCCTTTTCCGACGTCCTCCTCCGACTGTACTCCCGATCCCAGGACTGAACTTACGGGAAGGAGTGCTTCCAAGATGGGAGACGAAGAAGAAGAAGCCGCTGAATCCGGCGGCAATGGCTGGGATGTAAGTCCAACATTGCTGGTGCTAGAGTTGCCACTGCTTGTTTATAAGGGATTCATGTGTGTTGCCCTTTTTTGCCTTCTCCCATGTTCTCCTCCGACTGTACAGGTGAACGCTGTCACATATGTTGCCCTTTCCAGACAGTAGAAGGGAGGGGGGGGGGGGGGCAGCACATCCTGGCATCCAGGAATGCTAGGCCCTAGGAACTAGGCAATCTGACCTTTCCTCTTACTCCAATAATGGTATGGATGGGGAGTTCTTGAACATCCTCAGTCTTGTTAGAGTGAACTGTGCAACTCGGCAATCGGTGATAGCAGAGGACCAATGCCGATGGCGATGCTCCTTCCTTTTTCTCTGTCACAGGCTGCGTTCTCGAGAGGAAGCGTTATTTCTGCATTCCAAGAAGGACGGCACAATGGTGAGTGGAACTTCGTGGGTGTGCAGCCTTGCTAGTTGAATTGTAAATCAACCATTCTTCCTGTCTCTGACTTCTTCAATGTCCTCCTCAGTGTCGGACTGTCCGCGTCGCATTGAACTGGTCCGATGAGGCTGCTATTGCACACACAGTGAGGGAACTCCCATACGGGAACTCGGAAGTACTGCTACAGTACAGGTAAGGTGGCCATTGCTTATGTGCGTGCGCCGTTGTTGTCAACTTCTAAGCCAGCTGTACTCCAACCTTCATGGAGTTTGAAAGTAGTCAGCTGGCGAACTACAATTGAAGTTTAGACGTTATATGTCGCGGCTTGGTCAGCTTTTTCAGTTTCACAATGCATTGCACTCAGCACCGCTTCTCGGAATATCTTGTCAGGATAGCTGTGGAACGCATCCTCCCCAGTGGGGGAACGGCAAATGTGCTGTTCATTTTTTAGGCTTGCTTTTATGGTACGTACAAATCCCCATTGAAAAGACACAGTGGAGACCAGAAACTGCAAATAGATGTTGGGAACCGCGAAGACCACCCTTCCTTGTCAAGTTCCCTGAAGGTGTGGAGGGGGGGGGGGGGGGGGGGGAGCGGAGGAGGGACATTCCTGCACTTCTTAAAGCAGGATTCACAGGAGCATTTTCAGAAATTGCTTGTACATTTGTACCAGTTGTAACCGACAAACGCATTCTCATTGAGCTTTGACTTGAGGCACGTCAGCAAGGCGCTGTTGCATCGCTGACGTCTTGTCCTGATTCTGTGAATGGTATTTTGTGCGAGTTTGCATCGCACGCAGAATCGCAGGTCGTGTCGCATTGCGCAGCACACTGCCATATTGCTTCTGTGAATCCCACGTGAATGGGAATTCCAATGGGAATGTAATCCATTGCCAACAGGTGTATTCCCGAGCTGCTCATCATACTGCAAAATTGCTCCTGTGCATGCAAATGGATTTCATTGCTCTTCTGTAGTTTGGGAAATTCTCGATTATGATAATTCTGCGTGTGTGTGTACACCAGCCCTGAACATACATGTAGGTGACCCATTTGTGGTGTCTCATAGCCTACCTCACGACCTTATGCTTTCTTTCTGTATCACTTGTATCTTGCAGGTATATCACCCCGTGACGACCACATCGAAGTCTGAAATTGAAGTGTGAAGATGCTTCAGCAGCCCCTTCATATTTTTCCATTGCTTTTATTGTGCTTCTACTGTGCATGTGTGTAACCTGTGGGGTATGCATGTGATGACAATGTATGCCGGTGACACGGTCAGATTTTGTCCATGCGTGTAACGTACACCTGCATGCTATCGTTGAAAAGGATCTGCCACTTACGATCTTCGGACGAGTATCAGGTCAGCTTGGTTTTGTGTGGGCTGTACCAGACGCTGTTCACTTCTCTATCTGTTGGATATGTGACTTTCTGCAAGTTTCTGGTGTATGGTGGCCACTTCTTTGCTTGTCTTTGTATGACATTACAATAATTCTGTATTCACTGCTTCCATGGTGTGGTCTGCAAACTGCAATCCTTAGGCAAATATCATCACGGTTTGCAATATTGTGCTTTGGCCGCTAGCTTACCTACACATTGTACATGTAGTTGAATTATTTTTGTTTCACAACTGACTTCCTGAAGTATGGTGGCCACTGCTTTGCATGGCATTATACAATGTTCATCAAGAATTTCCTGTTTGGGTCGTGTGTGTGTATGTACATGTATGTGTGTGCGTGCCCATGTGTGTGTGTGCCATGTGCATGTGCGTGTTTGTCACAAGGTGTCTGTGTGCGGGGTAGCGAGGTGGGGAGGGCTGGAATGTATCAGTGTGCTACTGTAGTTGCATGGCTACATACAGTGCATCGCGCGCGTGCTCACCATGTTTATCTTCGGAGCTGGGCTAGGGTGGGGGAGGGAACAGAAAAAGAACTGAAATTACCCATATAAAAACCGCTCTGTGAGCGGTTCTGAAAAACCTCTACTGGTGCAGCCCCGTCGTAAAAGTAAGAAATTAGAACTGGCGCATTGTCCTCCCAAATGTGAACTGATCCACCTAAATCGCGATTGACGGGACCCGAACGCACCAGTAGCACGAGGTCGGGAGGGCACAGGATCACAGCCGGCGTCGGCGCTGATCAAGTTACCATACAACACTTAGATCTACACCGAAGCTCACCTTTGCCGCTTTGGCTTTGGCTATGGACCAGCGTCCCCAGCTGCATCCACAGGTAGGAACCTCGTGCTACTGGTGCGTTCGGGTCCCGTCAATCGCGATTTAGGTGGATCAGTTCACATTTGGGAGGACAATGCGCCAGTTCTAATTTCTTACTTTTACGACGGGGCTGCACCAGTAGAGGTTTTTCAGAACCGCTCACAGAGCGGTTTTTATATGGGTAATATACATGTATGGGAGAGGGGGCCGGGAAAAGGTGGATGCAGTAATTCGTGTGTGTACGTGCATATATGGGAGGGTCATTATTGTGTGAGTGCGTGCATATACGGAAACAAGAACCTAACACACGCAAGGCAAAGAGCACCCCCCCCCCCCCCTCCCCCACGCATCTTCATGATAAGGCCAAGTAAAAAAATGATTGTTTATCGTCAGCGCCTGCCCCGAATTTTTGCCCTCCCGGCCAGATTATTATATTTGTTTAGTTCCAGTAAATGCACTGTATGTACTGTATGTACTGTATGCACTGTATGTACTGCGATCTACGCCTATGCGGCCTCTAATCAGCGTGGCTGTAGATCTTGGAAGGCCAAGTGAAGTCCACAGATTGAACCATACATGTACTAGTAGGTGGTACGGTCAACTTGGCTAATAACGACTGCGGATATAACGACAATTCACGAATAACGACAGAATTTCCATGCCCAGAGCAAAGTCCCATCTAACTGTAATGCATAATTATGATGAGACTTCGGGTATAAGGACACTTCGCGAATAACGACACTTTTCTGATGCCCCGCCGAGTGTCGTTACTCGCGAAGTTGACTGTATGGGCTTGAAAAGTGAAAAAGATTATCAGCTGCCTGATTTTCTTTGTTGTCCGAAGTTGGTTGTTTCACTTTTCCTTATGTGCATCCTCAAAATCTCTTGCAAGATGTTATTCGCGGTTGATGATTTATCCGCATCACATGGACTTATCTCACTCTGCGCAAAATGGCTTCCGAAAAAGAATAGTGAAGAAAAGGCATGTCTAGGGGTTGCGCACACCTACACTAGGCACACCATACACCATACATGCAGTATAAAAAATAAAATAAATGCGCGGGATCCGCCCCGATTTCTCGGGAAAATCTGACAATAAACAATCAATAATTTAATAAAATATTATTTTACATGGCCTATATAAACATTAACTAGTTGTTTCATGCCCGTAGGCAATCATCAGTTACTGTTACTTCAGTTCGCATGAACATTGAGCACTCTCAAGAGCCGGAGGACTCTTATTTGCACTCCTGTTGTAAAAATTGTGCAGCATCTTCACGTCTGCCTGACCTTTTGCAGCATGCATTATGCTAATCTATCCTGATTTCTCCAGTGAATATGGAGTTGTGATGCATGATGGTGCCACAGCAGTACATCAGCAACGTCCATGCTTTCTACAGCTACATGTTTGTTGTTGTTGTAATTAGTATGGGCCCTTCCACTGGTGTTGCCGGTCGCTGTGCTTTTGATGCCGATCTCTATAATTATTATGTTTTCTGCTGTACCGTGATTATGTGCAATAACTTCCTGCTCCTATTGTTTCCTCAACATTTGACATCACCGTCCGCTGAATGTTCCCCGGGCAGCAATCTTAGCGAAGATTAAGACTTATCTGCCGCTGGTATGAAGTACTGGTGTTTCAGACACTGGTACACTGCTGCAGGTAAAAATAAACTGCTTTGAGCCAGTACGTTAGAGTTGTGCACAGAAGAGCCGAGAAGCACCAAGCCTGAACTCCTAAAAAATGTCAAAGCCTAAAGTTTATGATAAGAGCCTGAAGTTAGAACATCCTATAAGAACGAGGCCAAAGTGCTAAACTTTTGAAATAGAAGAAGAAATGTCCCAGCCTGACCCCTTGGAAACGTCGGGGCTGAGCGACTACTACTACTGAGCTTGTATCTCTCTGACCCGCCCCCCCCCCCCCCCTCTTAGACCAGAGAGAGAGAGAGAGAGAGAGAGAGTGCACCGTACTGGACGGAGACCACATCTTGCACCAAGCACCAAATGCTAAACTTTTCACTTGAAGAAAAGTTAGTTTTCTTCATATTTGTTCATGTGTCAGTCACTATGTAGAGCCTAGGGTCTAAATAAGATCTTAGAATTCAAGTTCAAGACGTGCTTGAAAACTAAAAAAGTGTTTTGGGCGAACAACTAAAATTTGCACTGCTGTTTACTTTATACTATAGGAGTGAAAATGTGAGTTGTGTCTGTTTTGCTCAAAACACATCATGTTCGGGTTCAAATGAAGGGGCAGGCTGCATCAGTACAGCTGCATCAGTACAGCAGTATCAAAGGAGTGTGTAGCATCGTGTCTTGAATGATAAATTACTGTCTCAAACCCAGGCCGAGCGTTATACTCAGAATGTACCTTGGATGGCCAAAAATGTTCGTCAAAACTGTAGATGTGTTTGCTGATGCCAATGGTCCAAAAACATGGCAAACAGCCATGTAAAGCCTTTATGCCTATGTCATGATTGCAAAAAAGTAGACATTAAAAAAGAATTTGTTCCACCGTCTCCTCAGTTTCAAGTCCTGACTGTATTGAGCTTCATGGAGCTCTATGAATACGGTGCCGGATATGTTTCACGGGATAATGATCCGCACTGCAGGATCTACTTGGTCACATCCAGTACTAGGGATGAGACTGTCACTCCTAGTGTGCACTGATCATGTCAGTGCAGCATTGCGGCACCGCATACCAGCGGATACGTGGAGGATAGCGTTGCGACCAGCATAGCAGCGGGCTGTTCATGTCGTCCAACATATTGGATATTCAAATCACGCCGGTTCATTATCTCAATCCGAACCTGCACACCGCATACAGCAGCACAGTTACTTTCCTGCACTGCCTGGCAAGATAAGGTGCTGTTTCGGAGGACGTTATTGCCAACGCATGCCCAGCGTTTGCTACAGCATGTTACTGCATTGCGGAGCACAGTCAGCACAGCCATTCACATGCTCCTACTGACCAATACAGTGACATCAGCACTGATCTGCACGCTCACTCACAATATTTGCACCGAGCCATTGCAATGATAACATCCACGTGTTCAGGTGCAACCGTCTCGCCACAATCTTGTATTACCGTCAGCAGCAAGAGAATGATCGACTTTGCCGTGCGTGCTCTCTGCCGGTAGAGGTTTGTCGATCAAGCTCAAGCACAGATTTATCCACTAGTTTATCTTCTCTAGCTGGGTCAGATGCCGCTTTTTTCCTACTCGGTTCGCTCTCCACCTGTAGAACATGACCACACACTCCCTGCATAGCCTCTGCAATCCCATCGCCTGTTTTCGCCGACACACGATACAGGGCTTTGATATCGTTGGGGAATTCAGATTTCCAGAAGTGCTCTGCGGCTTCTGCACTGATGGATGCTAGATCCTCGTCCATACTTGATGCTACATCCATCTTGTTTCCGATTAGAAACAGGCAAGCGGTGGTGAGAACATCTTGGCGTCGGCCACCCAGTTCCTCAGTTTCGGTAAACTAAGCTGTGAATCCAAGGAGAACACAAGCAGCACAACGACACTGTTGCGATAGTAGGACAGTGTAATGCTAGCGTGACGTTCAGATCCAGCTGTATCCCATAGGCTAAATCGGCACACTTTTCCACTGGCTTCATGCGTCACCGTCAATTCGCCCTGGTCCATTCCGATTGTGCTCCGGAAATGTTCTACGAACCTGTTCCTGTAGAGACGCTGGAAAAGGCTGGTCTTGCCCACTCCCTCCTCTCCCACCAGTACGGCCTTCCACATGGGAGTTTGAGAAGATCTTCCCTGGCGGTCGCTGCTGTGCCCGTCCGTTTGCAAACTGTTCTGACGCTCCATTTCGTGATGTAATGCCAAGCCAAGGACTAGTCGACTACAGTAGGATAGGCAATCAACACACTGTGACACAGTGTGCGCGCGCTATGCTCCTCGACACAACTCTCTGTTAGTGTGAGTGGAACGCGGTTTGCGTGTTTTTTTTCTAAACAGAAGATTGGTTTTGGAAAGCCTGCATCTTGCCGAACAAGACTGTTCGACGAGTAAACGAGCGTTCGTCGCAACTACTCCCAGTTTCTACAATGCTGACTCCACCTGGATTTTGAATTTTTCTCCCGTTGCTCAAGGGCGAACGTGAAAAGAAGTAGGTCTACGTGGGTTGACATGACCATGATGACTGTATCATGATACTGTAGGCTATAGCTGTACATATTTAAATAAAAATAATAAAAATAATAATAATGACTGTATCATGATTGACATGACCGCGCACGTGGATCCCAACTACATTGTAAACAAGAATGTTTTGCTCACGACCATGTACCAAGCGATTGTCGGATTGAAAATGATTGAAATGCACACCTTTTCGTTTTCAACTCCCTGTTGTGGAGAGGACCAGGCCGGCCACGGCTCGGAGTAGGGCGTAGTACACGGATTATTATACTACTCCCTGGAGAGGACCAAAATGAAGTAGGCACAGTCTTTGTTGATAGTCTCGGGCTTGGTGATTTGGACAACGATGAACTGGTTGCTGTCATAGCGGCAATTTTAGAAGCACTATCGCCACTATCGGCTTTGCTCGGTTCAGCAGCGAGACTCAACTGATCTAATCATGGCCTAAATTTTCAATCAGGGCGGAAGCCCCGAGTGGCGGAATGTGTGGGGAGGCGGGCCAGTGGGTTGCCCATATCGACTTCTGTGTGAGTGTTCAAAACTCGCTGCACGGGATTACATGGAGGCTGACTTAGCCTTTGGTACATGGTCCGCTGGTCGCCCTGTCGTGTACATGGGATATCATGTGAAGACAAGTACTACCTTGAAGCACCATTGTGATCCGATGATTGAGCATGCCAAGACCAATGCATCGGTACAAGAGCACCCTGCACTCCGGGATAATGACTATGTGTTTGAAGCTAGAGATACTTCAGATGTCAACATCTCTCAGCAAGACCAGAATGCCATCAAGATTCTGTGGGATTTCAGTCATTTCACCGTCAGGCTGTGCGATCGCTTCATTGAGCACCGACAGCCTGATATCATTCTGGTCGATGGACTTGCCAAGAAGGCCCTGATCTTTTGACAATGCTGTACCTGGTGATCCACGCATTGCTGAAAAGGAAGGTGAGACTTGAAATGTGGCAAGAAAACTTCTTGCTCACGAGATCCATCTGCTATGGCAAGTTGAGACTCAGATTGTTCCTGTGGTAGTTGGAACTTAAGACACTGTTTCCAAACAGTTGCCAGGATGCCTTGACACCATCGGTATCACCAACTACTGCTCTTTGCCAGAGAAAAAGAAGAAAAAGGATGTGCAAAAGACTACTCTCCTTGGCTCGGCAGCTATCCTGCGTAAGGTCCTTGATCTGTAATGCTTCTGGGGTGGGTGGTGGAGTTCTTTTGGTTCAATTTTCCTCCAAACCCTCTCCTGTTTCCTATGATCGTTATTTACAAAATGCGTTGTGCGTTTCTCCAGCCCAGTGGGTGTCAATCTTCGGCCGAGTGCTGATGGAAAATTTGAGTTGAACCAGAGCGGCGCACATGGGAAGTTGCTAGTGAAAGAGGGGCAATGACTATGGCCCAAGAAGGGGAGAGATAAAAAAGGCGGGTAGAGAGTGTTCATGCGTGTGTGTGTGTGGGGGGGGGGGGGGCATGAACAGTCCTTGGTATCTTTGGAGAATACAGTTTATTCCCGTAACTATGCAAAAGACGTTACTTCAGTAACGTCTGGCGCTAGCCAGGGTCCACACAGCTTTAATTCCGGTAGCTATGCAGAAGACGTTACTTCAGTAACGTCTGGCGCTAGCCAGGGTCCACACAGCTTTAATTTGGTATTTGTTTGTTTGTGTGTTTGTGTCACGCCTGGCGCTATCCCGTATCTGTCCCGCACCGTACCGTACCATCAAACACAGCTGGCCACATACAGCTGGCCGCAATATTCAAATAGGGCTTTCAAACGCAGGATCATAACGTGAAGCAACTTGGAAGAATTGAGTATGAATGCGAAGTGTATGGGGGAATGCATGTAGGGCGATAGTGCGGGTTCGAATCCCAGGTTATGCCTGAAAAATAGGAGAATTGAAAAATTTATAACATCCTTATGCTTTTTTTGCCTAGGTCATTAAGGCGGTAGTCGGCGTCGTATTACCCTCGATCGTACCTGTCCTGTACCGTACAATCAAAGACGGCTGGCCACAATGCATATTCAAATAGGGCTTTCAAATGCAAGATCATAACGTGAAGCAACTTGGAAGAATTAGTATGTATGCAAAGTGTATCGGGGGATGCATGCAGGGCGATAGTGCGGGTTCGAATCCCAGGTTTAATATGTCTTTTAAAAAAAGGAGAAATTTATAAGAATTTATAACATCTCTATGCTTTTTTTGTCTAGGTCATCAAGGCAAAAAAGCATAGCGTAGGGCCCTGAGCTTCCAAGCTCTCCCATTCCGTGTTTGTTTGTTTGTGCCGTCGGCATGCCTGGCGCTATCCCGTACCTGTCCCGTACCGTACCATCAAAGACAGCTGGCCACAATATTCTAATAAGGCTTTCAAATGCAAGATCATAACGTCAAGCAACTTGGAAGAATGAGTATGTATGCGAAGTGTATCGGGGGAATGCATGCAGGGCGATAGTGCGGGTTCGAATCCCAGGTTATGTCTTAAAAAAAAAGGAGAAATTAATTTTTTTAACTTTTGCCTAACTCATATTCAAACGTTTTTGCAATACAGTAGCCAGTCAATGGAAAAAAAAAACATTTCCATCAGTTCTAATAACATGCATGATGAGCTAGGCAAAAAAAAGCATAGCGTAGGGCCCTGAGCCTCCAAGCTCTCTCGTTGCCGGGACCCCAATGATAAAACCCAGCAACATTCAGCCTTTTGCAATATTGTTCATTCACTACTTGAAACCTTCAGAATAACTGTGTGTTAGGATGAAAATACATAGTAGTGTATTGCAGAAGGATGCTTGCAGTATTCCGTGATCAAACACACTGACTATCAGGGAGTCGTAAAACACCGTATGGCATTTTACGACTCCCTGCTGACAATGCTGACGTGCACTGCACCTCTCTATAATATTTTGAGATCCATTCTGTATTAACCGTATTTTTGCTTTGGCGCTAGTTGTGATGTGATCATGCGAGTGTATGACATGTTTGAAACCTAGTGCTTGTGGTGGTAGTTGTGATGTGAGTGTGTGATATGTTTGAAACCTACTTCGAAGTAGTGCTTGTGCTGGTAGGCCAAGACTACCGGCACAGCATCCACGTTTCAGTGAAAATGAGACGTCTATGGTCCATGTTCAATTTCCAGGTTTGGGAGGGATATTGAACTATTGAACCTGAGATCAATGGACTTCCCAAGGATTTTTTTCCTTCTACAATTAATTATGTAATAGTCCATATGGTGGTGTTGGTTTGTCTCCCTCGTACTTTGGTGTCCCAGCAAGTCCTCAATCTTTTTGTTGCGTATGACTGCTTAAAAAAATGCAAGAACAATGCAGGATTACATCCTATGTCATTCCTCTCGAATGCTGGCCTTGAGCTGATGAGTAGTACTGCCAGTCAAGCCCAAACTTGTACCAACACCAATACCTGCAGCTCAGACGAGCATCACCGGCAGCCTGCACAAGCAGCACTGTTTCGGCTGGCACCCCTGTCATGTAGGATTGAACATTGCCTGCTGCAATGCTTTGCCCACAATGCAACTGCTATCAGTCTCTTTACGACAGCTAGCTAGCTATTCTTCATACGTCAGTGGGCATGCACCATTCTTTTTAGAACCTTGTTGGTCCATGAGAGCCTCTGCCACCATCGTTCAGTCATCTTGGGGGTGAGAAGCTGGCTATTCCTGATTGTTAGTGATCAGTTACAACTCAGCCTTTTGCAGTGTGTGGCCAAACCTAATGCACTCCCCAAGAAGGTGTGATCAGGTTCACCAATGAATGCATGAATTAGTCTGTCTGTTGTTTCCATGGCAGATATTGCTGCCATTTCCTTCCGCCACACCAGGTACAACTACCGGTTGGCAGAGGTCCCGTTTCTCAGTATACAATCTTTTTCTTTCAAATTTTCATTTCATCATTTCACAGATCAGTTTAAATTAAAATAGTCATATCCAGCCAATTATGCTGTTCTTCCTGCTGCTTGACTTCCCTTACTCTTCATTTTACTTTCAAGACTGCCATGAATAGAACTCGTGCACCGTCACAAGTCACTGACCTTTGAAACTATCGTGAGAGCCAGAGATTGCCAGTGACATTAAATCTTGACTCGTTCCATGACTTGGATTTGTCCTTTTGACTTCAAGTGGGCTTTATTCATAAATCTGCCATGGTTTCTTGAGTTACACTTTCATTCGTGTTCCATCATGTGACGCATAACATTTTTTTATCACATTACACATACCTACGGAAGAAGGGGAGACAAAACGAGGACAAAACAAAAAAACAACAAAGGGTGTGTAGGCGCTACATGAGCTGCGCTGGTGAGATGCAGTGGACTCCCCCGACCAAGGCCAAGGGTCTCGGGATCGGCGTATACAGCAAGCACCATGGGAGAGGGGAGGGGCGAGAGGAATGGCGGAGAGAGAGCGAGAGAGAGAGAGAGAGAGAGAGAGAGAGAGAGAGAGAGAGAGAGAGAGAGAGAGAGAGAGAGAGGGAGGGAGGGAGGGAGGGAGGGAGGGAGGGAGAGGGAGAGGGAGAGGGAGGGAGGGAGAGAGAGAGAGAGAGAGAGAGAGAGAGAGAGAGAGAGAGAGAGAGAGAGATAGATAGATAGATAGATAGAGAGAGGGAGAGAGCACAAGATAGAAGAGAGAGAGAGAAAAAAAGAGAGAGAGAGAAAGAA